CCCCCCCCCCCCCCCCCCCCCCCCCGGGCCCAGCCCCGGGCCCCGCCCGGTCCCTCCAGCCACCTCCTATTAAACACATTTTTCCACTCTCAAACAGTCTTTTTTTAAATTCTTTTTCGCTCCCTCGGCTCAGTCCTGCCCTGTCCAGAATTCCGCTTTTTCACCCCATTTTCCCAGAACTCTGAACTCCATCGCTCTCATTCCAAAGTTTTGCCTCTTCTTCTCCTCCAACGGTTTTGCTACTTTTAGGACTTTTTTTTTTTTTTTTTGCTTTTGATCCATTTTTGGGAGCCCGCTCAGCTGCCTCCTTAATTTATTATCATGGATCCGGCATCTCCCTCTCTCCGTATTTATTGGGAAGTGAGGAACAGCCGCAGACCCCCGGGGGTCCATCCGTCCGTCCGGCTCCGGCCCTGTCCCGCTGCTCCCGCCGCCGTTGCTCTTTTTAAAGGGATTTTTAAAGCGAGTTTCTTCCATTTATCCCGTTTTTAAAGCCTTCTCCGTCGCAAAGGACCCGGATCCCTCACTCACACGGGAGCAATAGTCCTTCCTCGGTGGCCGACGTGTCCGTACTGTATTTTGTACCCTCAGGCAGCTCTTTCCGGTGAATTCCTGCTGTATCCACCCATCCTCCTGGTTCTGTGTTCTTTGCCACGGAGAAAATCCAGAAACCACAACGGCGACAACGGATTTGGGGGGAAAAAAAACGCTCCCGGCTCCGCGGGACTCACCGGCGTCCGGCCGCGGGACCTCTCCTTTTATTTTTGAAGAGGATGAGATATATATATATATATATAAAAAAATATATATATATTCCTTTGGTTTTTCTTTCTTTTGGCTGAATTGCGGTGATTTAGCCTTATTTCTATGTCAGGAGAGCAGCAGAGTCGCTGCCGGCCTGGCCCAGCTCTGGGGAGCTGGCTAGAAATACATGGAAGAGAAAAAAAAAACAAAAAAAAAAAGGCAAAACCACCAAAATCTGATAATAAACCCAAAAAAGCAGCTCCTGGCGTCGGCTCTGGGAGCCTTTCCCAGCCGGAGAAGTGCTGGATCCACGGACGCAACCTCCCGCAGCTCCATTTGGGTGGGAAGAGCAGAGAGCGTCGGGGGAAGACAGCGGAAAAAACAGCCAAAATGAGATAAAATTGGGGGGGAAAGGGGGTTTGAGGGGAGCAGCGGCCCAGGGGGGCTGTGGGGGAGGGGGCTTGGGGCAGTTTGGGGGTTTTTTCTCTCTTGGAACCCCCCAGGAGCCGGTGGGTGTTTCCCAGGAAAGCAGGACAGTGCCGGCATCTCCCCTGGGCCCCTGTTCCCATCTCTGTGTGTATAGACATGGCCGTGTGTACATAGATCAGAGTTGGTTGGGTTTGGGTTGAATTCTGTAGAAAATGGGCAAATTGCTTTTTTTATTATTTTTAAACCACAAGTGGGGGGGAAAAAATATCCCAAATTCCTGGTACTTCCAGCTTTGTTGCCCCAGAAGGGCCGATGGAGAGCGTGACGATGGCTGTACAGACAGAAAGTTGGGAATCCTGTCCAGTGCTCCAAAACCCGCTAGAAATGCCCCAAATGGCCAGGCCTGGGGCCAGCAGCACCTCCAGGGGAAGTTCAAACAGCTTCAATTCCTTTTGTCCTAAAAAATATGGAAGAAAATCGGGATTCTCCTGCCTCGTTCCCAGGCGATTTGTGGGCGGCAGGGGATGGGATGGGTGGGGCCATGCCAGCGGCGGCTCCTTGAGTTGGTGACAAACCAACCCCAACCCCTTGCCAACCTCTCTTATAAAAAAGCAAAAAGTGGAAAAAAATCGCAAAAAACTGGAAAAGATAAAAAAAAAAAAGCAGCTGAGGGAGCCCTGGGGGTATGTGGGGTGACGCCCCAGGGAGCTTGGCAGGTCCTCCCAGTGGGAAATCCCAGGCAGCTCCGTGGATGCTCCCGGGTGTTCCCGCAGGGTGAGGCCGTCGCCCTCATCGGCTCCTGGAGCCGGTTGAGCCAGTGGTGCCGGAGCTAGGGTTGGGTATCGGTGGGACAGCCTGGATTCGGGAAGGACAGCCCAGAGCCCACGGGGTTGTGGCCCCAGAACAGTGGCCTGGGGGGCTCCAGCCTTGGAGCAGCGGCTGAGAGCGGGTCTGGCACGGGCGGCTCCCCTGGCACATCCGGGGCAAAGAACGGGCCAGGAGATTGGACAAACATCAGTGGGGGAGCACTGGATCCTCCTCCGAGAGCCAGATCTTCCAAGAGCCAGATCCTCCTCTGGGACCTGGATCCTCCTCCGAGAGCCAGATGCTCCAAGAGTTGGATCCTCTGATGGCTGGATCCTCCAAGAGCTGGATCCTCTAAGCACCAGCTCTCTACTGAGTGTTGGATCCTCCTTCCGGCATTGGATCCTCCTCCAAGTTGGATCCTCCAGGTGTCAGACCCTTCTCTTCGAGCTGGATCCTCCTCAGAGAGTTTGATCCTCTGAGAACTGGATCCTTGGAGCGCTGGATCCTCCTCTGAGTCCCGGATCCTCCTTGGAGAGCTGGATCCTCTGAGAACTGGATCCCCCTCCGAGCAGCAGATCTCCTGGGAGCACTGCCTCCCTCCCTGAGTGCTCGCCTTGACGTCCCTTTGCCGAAAAGAGAAGAAGAAAAAAAAAAAGAAAGTTTTATTCCTGTTATTTTTTTAATGAAAGAAAAACAAAAACTAAAGCAAACCTGCACTTTAGGCGGCCGGGGGGCCGGGGGGTCGGGGCCCCCGTGTCCCTTCCCTGCGGCCGGGGGGCGGCTCCGGGGGCCGGAGGCAGGTCCTGGGTGTTACCACTAGCGCAGATGAGGCCGACGCGACGAACTCCTCCTGCTCCGAGCACTCCTGACGTAGCAGATTTTTGCAAATGGAGTTTTACAGTCTATATTTAAAGAATTGTATGTTTGTAACAAATAAAGTATGCGGAAAAGTGAATGAAAAACCAGCCTGGGCCTGGCTCGCTCCTTGGGGGGGGCCAGGGAGGGGTAGCTAGTGCCACCATTGGGGTGAGGGGCAGGTGATCACCCTGGAGTGTTGTGGGGATGTTGTGGGGTGTTGTGAGGGTGTGAGGTGGCACAGACAGGGCACGTGGGGTCCCCCACCTTGTCCTGAGGGGTGTCCCCAAGCAGGGAGGGGGGGGCTGGAGGGTGTGAGGGACCGGCATGGGAAGGGAGGGAGGAGGTTTGTCGTGTGCAGGTGTGTGTCAGGGGTGTGCACCATCACAGGGCTGTGTGGGGTGTGTAAGGTAAGGTGCGTGTACCACCACATGGCTGTGTGGGGTGTGTCAGCTGTGTGTAGGGCACATGTGCCACCACAGGTGTGAGGCTGGGTGGGTCTGGTGTGGCACAGGCGCGGGGGGTGTGCGTGTCACGGCTCAGGCGGGCGCGTGCATGGGCACAGGGGGTGTGTACGGGGAGTAAGGCTTCTGTGCCGCTCTCACGGCTGCGTGCAGTGTGTGTCAGGCGTGTATGTGCCACCGCGTGTCTCCTCCGTGCCCTGCCGTGGGTGCCGCAGCCCCCGCCCCCCGCGCTGCGGCTCCCTGCGGGCTCGGGCTCATCTGAGGACACGCGGGGACCCGCCTGCGCATGAGCCGCCACCGCCGTCACTGTCACCGTCACCGGGACCCGGCGCGACCCCCGCTCCCCCCGTGGCCCCTCCCCGCCCCGAGCCCCCCGGGGCCGAGCGGAGCAGCTGCTCCGGCCCCATCCCGGGCCCCCCCCGCAGCTGCTCCGGGTGGAGCCGGGGTTCGGGGGGCCCTGAGACTGCGGCGGAGGCCCCGGGGCAGCCCTAGGGATCCCCGGGCCGCGGCAGTTGCTGCCCGGGGCAACTGCAAGCGGTGTTGCCCCCCTCGGGGGTACCGGGAGCAGCTGCGGGACGGGGGACTGGGGGCCCCCCTGAGCCCTCCCGGCAGCTGCAGCGAGGGGCGGGGGCTGCGCGGGGCCCTCCGAGCCCTGCCCAGTGCCGGAGGGAGCCTGAACCAGGCGCCCCGGGGGGACAGTGACAGCGACAGGTGCCTTCCTTCTCCTCCTCCTCCTCCTGCTCCGGCCGTGGAGCAGGCGGGGGCAGGGCGGGGGGGCTGGGGGACCCCTTGAGCCCCCCCCGGCAGCTGCAGCGGGGACAGTGCCCCCCACCCCTGCCCGGAGCTGGGGCAGGGGGACAGGGGTGCCCCGAGGCATCCGGGGGACAGGGCCCGTGCCGGGGGGGGCCCGGGCTCCCGGCCCTGCCCGGCAGGACCCTGGCTCGGGAATCCCCCGTTCCATTTATAAAACCACCTCGTCACACCGTCAGGTTCCTTTTGACGCCGAAACGGGCTCGGGTGTGAGAAATTTATTTCCTGTGACATGTTTGTTTTTAAAACCCGCACCTACAGGGCGGTCCGGGGGCTTTGATCACATTTTGATCCCTGCTCTCAGCACTGACTGTGCCTTCGGCCTCTCGGGGTCCTCCCGAGTCCCCAGGGTGCTGCGGGGTCCGTGTTACCTTCCTGCCGCTGCCCTTCTCCCTCACCCTACGGGGCAGAACGGGGCTGGATGTGGAAAACACAGGGGAGGGTCAGAGGCACCGCTGGGCCGCAGTGTCCCCGAGCGGACTCCCCTCCTGCCGGGGGCTCCCCCGACCTCAGGCAGGGCCGTGCCCTGTCGGGAGTAGAGCCCACACAGACGGTCTGTGGGTGAGACCGTCCTGGCCCAGCGTTACCGGAGGAACCAATAGCCCCCCCTCCTCCTTCTTCTCTCAGCGACACCCGCGTCCGCCCACCCCCCCCCTCCCCTCTCACAAACACAGTTGGGGCGGGGCCTCGGAATGGGCGGGAAACCCCTGCCCGCCTTCCATTGGCTCCCGCAGCTGTCCGTCACCTTGACCCCGCCTCCCATCGCAGTGTCCGCCGTTTCCATTGGCCGAGAGGTGACGTCACCGGAGCGCGCATGCCCCGCCCCGCCCCTCACCCCGCCTGCGTGCCGTGTGCAAAAGGCAACACAGCCGTTAAACGAACCACGGGGCGGGGCCAGCGGGGGACGGGGCAAAGAAGTCTCGCTTCTATTGGTGGCGGCCGCATGTTCAAACTAGTATGGGAGGCGCTGATTGGTGCGGGCGCGGCGCGGCCCGCCGCCCCCGCCCGGGCGGGTCATTGTCTGGCGGCTCCCGAGGCGGGTCGGGCGCGGCGGCGGTTCCGGGACTCGGACGGCGGCGGCGGCACCATGGTGAGGGTGGGGGGGTCCTGGGGCCGCGGGGGGCTCAGGGGGGGCCGGGGCAGCACGGCCGCGGCTGCCGCTGTCAGCCCAGGCCGCGCTCCGTGACCTTGGGCCCAGCCCGGCGCTGCCCCAGGGCCCGGGCTCTGGGGAGAGAGGTGGTCGGGCCCCCTAAATCCGGTGTCCTTCCGGCGCTGTCAGAGCGGCCCCATGTCCGCCGTTACCGCGGTTTGTGCCGGTCACCGGGGGGGGAAATGTCAAGCGAGGGCCCCCAGCGGCCTCTGTCAACGGTCCCGCACCTGCCCCGGGATCGCGGAGAGATCCCAACGCGCTTCCAGAGGGAAGGGCCGGGCCCGAGGGGGAGGCAAACGGGGGTTCGGCCCCCCCGGTGCTCCATTCATGTGACCCCGGCGGGAGCGGGGATGACGCTGTCACCGGGGGAAGCGGGCGGATGGGGTTCCGGAGGGTCTGAGAGGTTCCGCGCACCTGCAGCGTGGTTTGGGGGGTTTTGAGGGTCCGTGGGGGCCTTCGGGGTTCCGTGCGCTCACAGGGGACCCGGGGGCTCCGCGGATCCGCGCGGGGGTTTCTGTGGTTCCACGGGGGGATTCGGGAGGTTCTGGGAGTCCTTTTCGGGGTTCCGTGCTTCTGTAAGATGTTCTGTGGGTCCCCACAGGGGTTTCAGGGGGTTCCGTAGATCCGCGGGGCAATTCTGTGGATTCACAGGGGGTTTGGGAGGTCCTGTGGATCCCTATAGGAGTTTGGGGTCTGAGGGGAAAGGGGCGTTGGATGGGTCTTGTAAACCCCCAGGCGTTTTCTGTGGATCTGCAGGGGGATTTAAGGGGTTCTGGGGATCCCCAGAGGAGGTTCCGTGGCTCTGTGAGAGATCTGTGGATCCTCAGGCCGTGTGGGGAGTTCTGTGGATCCGCGGGGGTTCCGGAGTGGGCGAGAAAGGCCCTGATCCCGCGGCGTTTACATGGAAACACCATCGGATTATACAACTCCCACCGCCGAGAACTTGTGCTGGGGGATATCTGGGGTGTGCGGCACGAGATAAAAAGTTGCTGTTTGAAGCAACAAGAAGAAGAAAAAAAAGATAAAGTTGTTTGCTTGGTCCAGCGGGTCAAATCCAGGGAGGGTTTGGCACGGGGATGGGCTCCCAGTGAGGGGCTGGGGTGGGAAGGAGGGACAGACGCGATGCAGCGATTGTCTCAGCCCCCGGGAGCCCCAGTTCCTGAGGAGGAAGGAATCCTCGGGATTCCCTCCTCAGAAGGGAGGAGTCCAGGAGCCCCGGAGGCAGCTGGAACCTGGTGTGTTCCCTCTGCCAACCCTGTGGAGGGTTGGGGAAAACCGGGACAAACCTCGGGATTTCGGCGACGACCTTTTCTTCCCGGTTTTTAGTCAACCCCCCCCCATAAAGATCCGCCAGGCAGGTGGCTCCCAGCTGGAAAACCTGACGAAGAAGTGGGAAAGTTCACAACTGGCTGATAAAAGCCCTCAGTGGGAACAGCCAGTGCTTTTCCCAGAGCTGTGTTTTATTCCTAGAGCAAGGGAATATCCCTACATCCCCCTTGCCTCCTCCTTCCCTCCCCTAAATCCCTCATCTCTCCCCCCACATCCTCCCTCTCTCTCCAAATCCACCCAAATCCCCCCTCTCTCCCCCCCCCAAATCCCCCTCCCTGGGTTTTGCAGTTTTATGGAGTGATGTTTTCTCTGTATAAAAGTAACTCCCGGTGCTTCCGTGTTTTTCTGAGTCATCCCTGAAGGCCCTCCTGTCCAAAGTGCCAGGACACAGAGGGGTTTGCCAGGGGCCAGCATTCCCACAGCTGGATCCCAGCATTCCTGGAGCCAGATCCCCCACAGCCTCACCCCGCGCCTGCCACTCGTTTAATCACCTCGGGATTAATTAATTCCTCCTCGTGATTATTTTTTTCCCCAATGTTTGAGCTGGAAGAGGTGTTAACTCCCACCTAGCTGGGCTGGGATGCAATCTTGGACATTCCCAGGTTAACCAGCATCTTGTTTTGAGGATTAACGAGCTCCACTCACTCTCCTGGGATCTCTGGGTCCTTTCAGCTCCCTCACCATGAGCCAAAACTCCTCCTTTTTAGGGGGGATGGGGGTTGTGGGATCAATATGTGCTGTAAAAACAGGGATTACGAGTATCCAGTGTGTTTTCAGGCTCTGCTCTTCCTCTGCTATGGGTTCTTGGCTCTCTGTGGGCTTGAAAAACCTGACACAGGGGATTATTTTTCCTGTTTTTTCTTACCTGGAGCAGATTTGGGGGTGCTGATGTGCTCCCTGTGGATGGTGCAGTTCCCTCTGCCCTCCTGTGTCACCTGCAGCTCCCACCTTCATTAGGAGCAGCTCTCATTAGTGATCAGTGACGTCACAGAGTCTTCCCATGTCCCTGCAATCCATGGATTTCCTGAGGGCGGATGGGAGAGCCCGGCAAACATTGTTCCTGAGTGACTCCCAAACTCTTGGCTTTGGCATTTCCACCCCCTAAACAGGATTTTTATTAAATGTGGGATTTCTGGGGCTCCTACATGATTTCCCACCCTGGAGCAGGAAGGGAGTTACCTCTGAATCCCACAGGATTCACATTCTCACCTACAGGAACAGTGTCCTGCCCCACACCCCGTGTCAGCACGTGGAGAAATTGAATCTTAAATAAAAATAGGCTCACAACTGCTGGAAAAAAAACGGTCAACAATGGGGATTTTGGGATGCTTTCCCCCC